GGGGGGGGGGGGGGGGGGGGGGGGGGGGGGGCGATGACTAAAGCCCACTGACGCTCCCCATTCCTCCTCCACCCGCAGGCATCACCGATCCGGACCTGCGGCGATACAGTCGCAGTGGGCGCAACAGCATGCTCGATCTGCAGCAAGTCTACCGCGCCCAGCTCATGTCGCTGTGGGAGGGCATCGAAGGGTCGCAAAAGTTCTTGCCGTACGTGCCAGGGCGGCATCTCATTGCCGAAGCCTCCTCCTTTACGGAGCTGAATGCCGCCACGTACAAGCCCAAACAAGGTGTCGCCCTGTTCCTTTTGGACGATCTTCTGCTGGTAGCTGTGCGGAAAAAGAGGCAAATGAGCGCGAGGGTGAGACTGGTCGCAGAGCGCTGTTTCAGCTTGGGAGAAATCATCGTCATCGATCTCAAAGACGGCGGCGAGCTTACCAATGCGGTCAAGATCAAGCGCGGCAAGGAGACTTTTGTGTACAGAACGGAGCGAGCAGAGGATAAGAGAGCTTTGCTGAATGCCTTTAGAAAAGTGGCAGAGGAGCTAGCAAACAAGCGCAGAAAGGAGAGCTTGGCCGAAGCGGAAGCGAGGAAGCGAGAGAGCACGCTGGTCGGTGGTGGTGCTGGTGCTGGAGGCGCCATGTCGCGAACAACGGCCGGTGGTAGAATTCACGCTAGCACTCTGTTGGGTCCGCATGGAGCTTCGAGCGGCACGGGTGAGAATGGTAGCGTCTTGGCAGCAGCTGCGGCCACTGCTGCTACGGAGAAGAAGGATCCTGGTAGATGGATCAATGATTTCAGCGACGAGCTCGCCGTTGCCATTGCGCTCCGCGAATGGGGCGACGCTGTCTCCATGGTCGAGAAGGGTGAGTGCGGCTGGTGGAGCGTGCTTTGATCTTCGAAGACCTGCTGAGCTGCTGTGACGACTCTGTCTGCCAGGAAAAGGAGCCTTATCCACGTACGACGTGGCTGATCCCGCGCATCAAAGTCTGTCAGCCAAATTAGCGCATCACACGTCCCTCCTGGTCGCAGCAATCACGCACGACCTCTCATCGCCATACCTCAAAAAGACTAGCGTGGTGCGCAACGCTTCGTACCTTTTGCGTCTGGACAAGGGCGAAAAGGCGCGCGAGATCTTCTTGGCGGCTAGATCCGAGCTGTTGAGAAGGAGGAGCCGGCAAATCAAGTTTGAGGGTGATGTCAGCCTGTACATCTCTGAACTGGCGCTGGTGCACTTTACGCTGGTCAAGAACACGAGCGAGTGGTACATGAGCGCGTTCAAGGACAATCGAATGGCCAGCGGTGAGTGGCGCTCGCGCGTGCGCGTGCGCGTGCGGTGTGCCATGCGGTGCTGGTCAGCGAGCTGACTTGGCATCTTCACGTGCTGCGCCCGTCCGCCCGCCTGCCCAGGCTTTGTGCGCTGGGCGTCAGCGCAGATTGAAGCGTACGCCGAGATTTTCAGAAGGCAAGTGTACGGCGTGGCGGATCAAGATCCCAAGGTTGTCAGCGAAGCCATCGAAATTACCAAGTCGAGCGCCAATCAGCTCAAAGAGGTCGGGCTAAGCTTTGGATTTCTGCTAGAGGATCTGCTCAAGCCTGACGGGACCGATCGACCAAGTGAGTGGGCGCGTGCAGGTGCGCAGCAGTGCAATACATTTGCTAAGCTGACGCCAACGCCACGCACGCAGTACCTGCCCTCACCTTGACTCTCGCAGACGAGCCGTCCGAAGCAGCGACGCATCGTCTATCTGCACAGGAGATTAGAAGACAAAGTGCCATGCTGCATCGGTGATTGTATTCACACACACAAGGAAAGATGGGGGCTCACTACATGATGGCTTGCGTGTTTGCGTTGCGATGCGTGCATGCAGGTCATGAAAGCGTGATGATGCACAAGGAGACGCGTTCAGAAGGCGAGCGAAGCAACGCCGGGTCTGGCGTAGTGGCGACCGTGAGCTACTGCTTCGACGAATGCGTCTACCAGTTTCTGACTCGAAGCCGCGTCGGCAGCGCTGGTGACCACTCCGAAAGAGCTGACAATGTCGTCCCCAACGGCTGCCTCGATGCCTTCGGCCTCGTTTGTGATGACTTGCTTGACGAGACTTAGACCGTAAGAACCATTGATCAAGAGAGGCTTGAGGTGGCCAGTCGACTCGCGGATCCAGTGCTTGACGCGACCGTGGGACCGCGCAACCCTGTAAGACTGCTCGTTGGTCAGTGGCAAAAAGGTGGCGTCGAACAGAGTGCTCCTCATCGCATCCAAGCCGCGGTGGTCGATGATAAAGACGAGTGCGTCGCCCGACTCGAAGCGCTTCTTGATCGTCTCGATTTCAGATTCGGGCGTGCCGTCCAGCTTGATGATTGCGATGCGCTTCTGCCTAATGGTGTGAATGTTCTCATAGTGCAGGCTGAGCTCTGGATATGTCTCTTGTGAGATTGGAATAGCTGCGTCGGTAGGCACATTTAGCCTAAACTCGTCGGCTACTGCCTTGGCAAGGTCAGGATTGATGTGCCTATACAAGTGAACAATGCGCTTTCTGACCCCTTCATCCGGCACCTTGCTCAGTTCAAAGATGGCCCCCTCCTTGATCGAAGCTCGCTCGTGATCCTGAACGCTGTTCCAGAAAATCTGTGCCTGCTCAAAGTAGTTGGCAAATTTTGGACCGTTGGTGCGCAGCTTGAGCGCTTTCAGGCGATTCAAACGCGCAAGGTCTTCTGGGTACGAGGAGAAGCCTTGCCGACTCTCACCAGGAGCGAGTTGCTTTGCGCTGTCGTGCCAAATTTGTCCAGGCAACGCTTCAGGCTTGGTGACCGTGTCGGCTTTGTTGAATGTCGGTGCGAAATTGGTAGCGTTGCCCTCGCTGTTTGGGAAATAGTTGGCTCCTTTGGGAATCTTCATTGGCATTGCGCCGTCTCTGTTGAAGGTGGCCAGCGGGCAGACGGGGCGATTGATCGGGATTTGATGCCAGTTTGGTCCGCCGAGGCGCGACAGCTGCGTGTCAGAGTAGCTAAAGTTGCGACCTTGAAGGAGAGGGTCATCAGAAAAGTCGATTCCAGGGACAACGTGACTGGTGCAAAAGGCGACATTCTCCGTCTCTGCAAAGTAATTTGTCGGATTCGCATTGAGCTCCAACTCGCCGACTTCGATGAAGGGGTACTTTGCAGCGGGCCACACCTTGGTAGAGTCGAGCGGGTCCCAAGAGTGGATGTCTTCATCGTCCTCCTCCATGATCTGAACTGCAAATTTCCAGCGAGGAAATTTGCCAGCATCGATCATTTCGGCAAGAACCGTGCGGTGAAAGTCTGGGTTCTGACCTTGGATTTTGAGCGCCTCGTCCCAGTTGAGGGATTGGCAACCGACCTCGGGGAAAAAGTGGAACTTGACATAACGGGAAGAGCCGTCTTCACCGACGAGCCGATACGTGTTGACCCCGTGACCTCGCATGGTGTGGTAGTATCTTGGAATACCGTACGGCGACATTTGCCACATGTTCATGTGCGCAGACTCTGGCGACAAGCTGACCCAGTCCCAAAAGGTGGGGTGAGCGGATTGTCCAGTAGGAACTTCCAGCTGAGGCTCTGGCTTGACGGCGTGGACGAGATCGATGAAGCGGTGACTGTCGGCAACAAAGAAGATCGGAATATCATTTCCTACAATGTCCCAATTTCCCTCGTCGGTGTAGAACTTGACGGCAAAGCCGCGAACATCGCGCACCGTATCCGCACTGCCCCGCGGACCTTGGACTGTGCTAAAGCGCAAAAATACGGGCGTCTCTTTGGAGGTGTCGTTCAAGACATTGGCAGCCGTGACGTTTCTACCTAGCGGCTTGGTGATCTTAAAGGTACCGTGCGCTGCTGCACCTCGCGCGTGCACGACACGCTCAGGGATGCGTTCGTGATCGAACTGGTGAACCTTTTCTCGGGCGACTTGATCTTCAAGCAGCATGGGACCACGAGCACCGCCCTTCAGCCAGGCGGTGTTGTTGGCTACAGGAAGTCCATGCTCGGTGGTGGCAATGTTTTCTCCATCCTTTGGATAGTCGACGAATTGCTTGAGCTGCTCGAGCTTGGCATTGGTTGCCCGACCATTACTGTTCGCTTGACTGTTGGCGCCAGACTGTCCCACGATGCCATCTGCCGCAGAGCGGGCAGCCTCGGCGACGCGATCGATGGCCGACATGCTGGGTTCGGGAAGCATTGCAGTGAAGGTGGAATGGGCTTGTAGGGGTGGTGAAGGTGCGGAGTTGTGCAAGCTGTGGGGATGAAAGGCGCGACCTTTTAAAGAATTGCAGGGCTCGCTCTCGAAGCCGCCCTAAAGAGAGCGCAAGTGGAGCCAGACATCGACGAGCTGTTCTCGGCAGGGTCGTCTCCACATTGGACTCTGCCGAGCTGGTTGTGGAGACGACCCTGCCGAGAGTAGCAATCGGCGGCGCAGGCAAGCCTGGCGTGCCCAATTCCACAAACGCATGCACACGCTCTGGAATGGATGTGACGAATGACCCTTGTAGGATTGGCCACCACATGACGGCGCTGTGTGTGCAACGATCAAATCCAGTTGCTGCGTCATCCAGGGTTCGATTGGCTAGTGCTGACACTGGTCCCACGCTATATTGTCCAGCAGGGTCCAAGACGTGCGCGCGCGCGCGCCAAATCTTTGAGACGCGGCAAGAGCAGCCAGCCTGCATGAAACGCAAGCTCTTGACGCGGCGTAGATGCGGGCAGAGAGAGCCGCGGCAAAAGCGATTGATTAGCTGATGAGAGGCGTTCTCGATCAAGCAATGCCTAGCGTCTCGAACCTCGCGGGTGGAGATGAAGGTCGCTTGTGCTCTGTTCCCGAAGCTGCGACGCCGCTGGGCGAACTGGAGTGTGTGACTGGCAGCACCAATCGGAAGCAGTCTTTGCCTGTGCACAAATCGCAATGCAATCGTGATCAGCAGCCAGATACGCGCCAGGTCTGCTTACTTGGTCGACCCACCATTGAGGTAGAAGCGGAACAATCGCTTTTCTCGCACAAAGCCAAAGCTCTCGTACAGCGCCAAGGATGCGACATTGTCTGCTTCCGTCTCGAGCACAATCTGCGCGGACACGCACACGCACACGTGCGGACTTAGCTGCTCTCTAAAGCGCACCGTGCACCAGCACGCTGATAGCTTACACTACTCACCTCTTGCGCTCCTCCTTCCACCAGAGCACGCACTCCACGCTGCACCAGCCTCGTTGCTTGTGCGCGGCCGCGGAAAGAAAAGAGCATCAGATGCGCGGTGCTTCGCCATCATGCATGCGACGCTCCGCCCACTCACCCACACCACGACCTCTCCACTCTGGTGCGACGCTGAGCATGGCAATGTAACCCCTCTGATGCTTGCCTCTATGCGCCTCTAGCTTGCTGACGATCACGCCGACTGGAATGCTCTTCGAGATGGACAGCGCTCCCGGCTCATCGTCGCTCTCATGATCCGAAAGAGCAGAAGAGCCTGTGCTGCTGGTCTCATCTTGATCCGTGGTGGCGTCCAAGCCCAATTGGTGTGCCCTTGGCCCGAGGGAAGAAGGTGCGGACGCCGGCTCGTCCTTGGCCCAAGCAATGAAGGTGTGGTGTGGCCTGAAAGAGGAGCAAAGTGCGGAGGAAAGCGAAGGCACAGGTGAAGCGCAAGGGCGTTGCAGGAGAACCTTTCAGCCAAGCATGCTTTACCAGCCCGACGATGCAGTGGCAGCGACTCACCAGCCGCGCAGAAAATATCGATACGTGTGGACGATGTAAGGCTCGCTCAGCTCACGCTCAATGAGCGAGGCGATGATGGGCAGCTGCGCCTCGCCCGCATAGGGTGTCAGGTGAACGCAAGCTGCTGATCCGCGCATGTGAGGGTGGGGCGCGCTGTGAGCAGGTTTGGCGTGCGTAGAGTCAACTGCCTGGCCTTCCACCTTGGCGTGGAGCTGCTGCGAAGCCATGACGTGGTGGATGACTGGACTGGAAGATGGGGAGCGTGGGGTGTGGGGTGTGGAGTGTGGAGTGTGGAGTGTGGAGTGCAGAGCGTGAGCGTGAGCAGGGAGCGCTCAGCCACAGTGTGCTGCCGCATATGCGTGTATGCGCGCGGATGAGGGTTAGAATGTAAGGCAAGGTCGCGTGAGCCAAAGAAAACGGGGGCAGAAGAGGCAGGTAGGCAGTGATGGTGTGCGTCGCCTGAAATCTCGAGTCGTTAGTTATGAGTTTGATGAGTGTTGCGTGTGCGCTGCTTGCGAAAAAGATCGGATCACGTGGGATGCGTGTTGCGTGTTGCGTATTGCGTGTGCACGCGCACGCGCACGCGCACGCGTTGCATCTGCAGCCTTTCAATCAGCTTGCGCGCCATGCACGACGCAGTCAAAGTCAAGAGTGTGAGTTCAGCAGGCAACATGCAGCTTCCGCTCTCATAACCGACAAGGTGCACGGCGACCGCGGGGGGCGCGGGGGGGAATTCTAAGCGATGAGCTGGGCAGAAATCCAAGCTTTTAAATCCAAGCAATTAAGCGATCATTGGGCAGAATTCCAAGCCATCACTCAGACCATCAGGCTCACCATCCCTCCACACTCACGATTTGCATATCCACCACCGCATCCCAGTCGGATACAATGCAAGCCACGTGGACACCGGTCCATCTCGCCGCCGGCGTGCCAGCCAACCTCATCTCGCGCTCCAGTCACTGCCTCTCCGTCGTGGGAAGGAGAGCATTCATCTTGTGAGTGCAAGGCCACGCTACCCGCAGTTGTACTCGTAGTGCTGACAAGTCGGTGCTGCAGTGGAGGTGAGCTCAAACCGAGGACGCCAATTGGCAACGAGGTGCTCGTCGTCGACTTGGATGGCAAAGGTGGGTTGGGTTAGCATACACCTCTAGCAGGTGTCGAACGTCGCTGAGCACGTGACACCGCGCGCGCGCACACACACACGCATTCCCCCAGACCCATCTCGTGTTGTCGAGCCTGCTTCTGCAGCCCAAGCATGGCCAATAGCGCGAGTAGGAGCGTCCATGGTGGCACACGCTGCATCCAAAGCGCTGTATCTCTGGGGAGGCCGAGGAGGCAAGGACATGTCGCCCATCGAGACCCGGAGAGGTGATGGAGAGCAGGATACAGACGACCTGTGGCGCTTCGATACTGTTCAGGAGAAGTGGACTAAGCTCGAGACGCAAAGGGGCACATCGAGCGAGTTTCCGCAGGACCGCTCTTATCACACTGCTGCAATCGCAGGCGACAGGCTCTTCATCCATGCTGGTTGTCCGGCTTCTGGTGAGTCGCGTATGTATGGCACAGCTCACGCGCTGATAGCGTCTGCTGCTGCTCAACCACGGCGGTCTTGTGCTCAGGTCGCCTCGCCTCTCTTGAGAGCATCGAGTTGGGCGACTTGACTTGGTCGACTCTGCCCTCTGCGCCAGAGCCTGGTCGTGGGGGCACGGTTCTAACGGCTATCGAGAGCCCAACCGGTGCGAAGCAGCTGATAAGATGGGGCGGATTTTGCGGGTGAGCGTGGGCGCAAAAATCAAGTGGACGCAAAAATCAAGAGCTGCGACCGCACTGACGCGACGCGTTTTTAATCGGTGCTCTTGAGATACGAGCTTGGAGGTCCGTTGGACATCTTTGACATCGCGTCTGCTACCTGGACATCATCCGAGGTCTCTTTGTTGAACATCAGCGGCCAGCCACCCAAGCGCTCCGTGCATGGACTCGTGCCGTATCCTTTAGGCGCAAAATCTATATCGCACGGCACCTTTGGCGAGGCGAAAGCTATAGCAATCATGTTCATGGGCGAGGGCCAAGGTGCGCCAAAAGAGCTGGGGCATGATGGAGCAGGTAAAGTGAGTCGGCGTTTGCGATTGCTCAGCAATGAATGCTCGCTAACACAAGTCACACGCTGCAGTTCCTCGACGACGTCTACGCTCTTTTGCGATCATTGAGCGAGCCGAGCACGTTTGCATGGCTGCGCATCGAGCCCAAGGTCGCCAACAGCAGCATCGCCCCTCAGCCCCGTGGATGGTTTGCCTTTGACGCCACAAACACCAAGAATGGCCTAGAGATTATTGCACATGGCGGTCTGAATGAGGCCAACGAGCGCATTGGAGATGCGTGGAGACTATCCATTGGGCACGCTGCGGTCTGAATGAGGCCAAGGAGCGCGTTCAGAATGCGTGGAGACTATCGCGCAACGCTAAGCTTTCAAACATCTCCCACCGCGCGGTGTTGCGATGCTTGGTGCGTGGCAGACGCAGGCGGACCGAGCGCAATGGATCACTTCAAATGAGTGCAGACATTCAAGCGTGTGCGCACGCGTGTATCTTTTCACACTTTGGCTGGAACACTGCACCCATTTACGCTCCTTTTGCCGTCAAATTACAAGCGCTCATTTGCAAGCGAGACGAACGGTATCAGATGGGAATTTTGGAGCGAGCATGCCCCCCGCCAAAAAGGCGCGTCTGGACGGACGTCTGCAGAGCTTGATTTTGAATACTTGATGCCGTAAAATGGTGGAGATGCAGCTCGCCGCGCCCACGCCATGGGGGCATGTAAGTGAGAGAGCGTGACAGGCTTCGCTCGAGGGTTCGCTCGAGGCACGCGCCAAAGCTTCGCTCGAGGGTTCGCCCGAGGCTCGACGGAAGGCTCGCGTCGCGCTGCGCGTCGAGGCACGCGTCGAGGTATGCGTTGAGCCTCGGGCGAAAAGCACGTGTCAAGGGTCGCGTCGAGGTACGCGCCCCAGCACGCGTCAAGGGTCGCGCCGACGTACGCGTTGAGCCTTGGCGGAAAGCACGTGTCGAGGCTCGCGCCCAGGCACGGCCCGATGCTCGGCGGGAAGCACGTGCTGAGGCATCGCCCGAAGCTCGACGGAAGGCACGTGATGAAGGCTCGCGCTGAGGTACGCGTCGAGCCTTCATCACGTGCCTTCCGTCGAACCTTCCATCGAACCTTCCATCGAACCTTCCATCAAACCTTCCATCGAACCTTCAGTCAAACCTTCAGTCAAACCTTCAGTCAAACCTTCAGTCAAACCTTAGGGTTAGGGTTACAAGGGTGTCCCGTTTTAGGGTTGGAGATGTTTCATAGCCAGTTTGTAGAGCACGTTGAGGAGTGTCTTGTGGCAGAGAAGTTTTGGATTTGCGATAGCCGTTTTTGCGTGAGGAGGCACAAAGTGCAAGTGCGGGGTGATTTTGGCTGGTGGCACCTCTCAAATTTGGGAATCTATGTGACCCTAGCAGGGTTTTGGAGAGGGTCAGAAGAGTCATTTAGCATGTGTGAAGGGTTTGGGCTGGGGTTGCAAACTCATGGAGATATGGGCTTTCAAAGTGTCAAGTGCGGTGAGAAGCACTGAGTGAAGTGCACCAAGGGGCACTGAAGGGAGGTGGAAGGGCGTCAGAAGAGCGCTGAGCTGTGGCTGGTGTGCGCAGGCAGGGAGGTGCGCTGTAGTGATGTGGAGGTGGCTGTGTTGGGCGCCCCTAGGGTGGGTTTGGGCGCACTTTGGGGCGGCACTGAAGTGCGCCAAAGTGATGTGGAGCATTCAAGGCATTTCAGCGCCCCTCAGCGCACCTGAGAAGCGAAGTCAGCAGCCTGCATGAGAGACATGTAGCTAGGAAAAGGATGAAAAAGTGAACATGTTCATCTTTCCCTCCTTCTTCCCTACCACCACCATCCCCCATCCTCTTTGACAACAGTGCACTTCAGTGTCTTTCAGCGCACAACCAGCATTACACAGCTCTTCAGACCAAGTGAGTGCCTTTGAGCGCCATTCATGGCCAGCAAGCGCAGCAGAGCGCTGATGATGGTGAGATTTTGTTCCACAGCGCAATTCACTGCACCATGCCAGCCAAAGGACGCTCTACAAGGTCTGTCACCAGGAGATCAGTGCCTTCCAGCGCACCTCAGCAGCCAGATGCGCTTCTCAGCGCTGAGGAGAGCCAGGTCAGCGCTGCAGAGCACCCTGAGGGTGCCAACAGCACTCAGAATGGACTAAGTGCGCCCAACAGTCAGGAGGAGCACTCAGATGCACCAGCAGGCGCTGAAGAGGCCTCTCAGGATGCTGAAGACATTACAGAACGCCAAACTGAGGTTGCAGCCCAGGAAGTGCTGCCAAGTGCACCCCAGGATCAGGAGCACCAAGCAGATGCGCTGCGCAGCACTCAGGAGCGCTCTGCAGCACCAGATGCGCTCCAGGAGCGCTCATCTGCTGGCACTGGCGCTCAAGTTCCCCTTGCTGCGCCAAGCAGTCCAACTGAAGACTCAAGTGCGCTGGGTGGGGCTCCTGCCAGGGAGGACAACACTCAAGCGCACCAAAGTGCACCTAAAAAGAAGGAAAGTGCGCCCAAGCCGCTGCAAAAGGGACTTTTCAGCAACCAGGGGCGCCTGAATGTGGGTACTGGTGGCCAAGTGCGCCTGTCAGGAGACAAGAGCACCAAGAAGCAGCAAAAGGGACCAGAGAAGGCGCCTGTGCCTCAAAGCAAGCAGCACAAGCACTCAAAGAAGGTCAGCAGTAGCAAGCAGCAACAAAAAGACACTCAAGAGTGCTGTGTGAGCCCAATGAACGCTCAGGCAAGCCCAACTGTGTCAACCAACCAACAAGTGCGCCCAGCCACACCAGAGGAAGGCCAAGAGCACCCAAATGAGGATCATGGCAGTCAAGAGCACTCAGATGCAGCTCAGAGCAGCAAGAAGCGCCCAGCTCAAGACGGGGCAGTGAAGATGAAGGAAACAGCACCAAGAAGCGCCAGAACAAAGGGAAAGGCGCTGAGAGGAACCAAGAGACCGCTGAGCAGTCAGCTGAAGGTGCTGAAGGCGCTGAAAAGCTACCTGCAGTCAAGGAAGTTGCGCCAAACAAGTGGAAAGAGCTCTCAGATGCGCTGACAGTCAAGCTCAAGGCGCTCAAAGACACTGACTGTAACTTCAAGAGCGGCCTAGAGCGCTGTGATAACTGTTGCCGCAAAGACATTCCCTGCCGCTTTGAGAAGCATTCGGCTAGAAGCAAGCGCTGTGTGGACTGCAGGATTGTCAGGGACTACTGCACATTCAAGAAAGAAGACCTCTTCCCCTATGAGGAGGCTGCCAACAGGGCGCGCCTCAATGCTGTTGCTGGTCCTTCCAGCGCTCCACAGCGTAGCTCAGCTGAAGTGCACCCAACAGCACTGGAAAGGCGCGCAAGTGCAGGCAGCAGGCACCAAGTGCACTCAATTGAGGACTCCTTAAGGCGCATGAGCGCCAGAGTGCGCCGACTAGACACCAACCAGAAGGCGCACTTTGAGCGCATTCAGACATCTTTGGACGCTGTCCATCAAGGGGTAGAACGCCTTGCGCCGCTTATAGAGGCGCTCATTGCAGCGCAGGAGGATGCTGAGTTGCGCCAGTCAGCAGTGGAGAGCACCTTACAAGCGCTCAAAGATGGACTGGATAGGCTGCTTGAGCGTCAGTGAGCGCTCCCTGGACCTCACTACAGCGCTGCTCAGGTCCCTTCAGTGCTCTTTGCCTCTTTGTTGATCCTCTTAGTGCCTTTTGGATGCTTTGAACAGAGCTTCAGCGCCCATGCCCACTCACCCAGCGCACCATGAGCCCCTTTGCCCCTTTTTCCATGCCCTACAGTGCTCTTTGTGTAGAGACAGTGCACCTGAGCGTCCATGCCCTATGCTTCATGCCCCCATGCAATTCATGCCATCATGCCAGCGTCTTTGAGTGCATCTCCTTCCCATTGCTCTTGACCAGGTGCCCTTGAGCGCACTGAATGGCGTATTGGTGCAGTGCAGCGCACAAAGTGCAGTACAGCGCTGATACAAAGACATGTGCTGTCTTTGGGCGCATTTCTACTTCACTGAGTGCTACTGTCCTCTGTCAGCGCACAATGTACCAGCTTGGCGCACTTGACTGCCACATGGCACTGGTGGTGACACTGAGCAAAAATCAATTTTGCAAGAAAAAAAACTTTTCATCCACTTGTCAAAGGATGGTGCTTTCTCTTTACTACCACCACCATCCCCTTCCTTCCTCGACACGAGTGCACTTCAGCGCCTTTTAGTCTTCACTCACCGCTCTACACCAGCACCTTCCAACGCCTCTCACCTGTGAGTGGAGTGAAGTGCGGCGCTGCACAGCTAATCTTGACTGACACCGTACAATGCATCATCTGCTCCTCAGCACTGCCAACATGCCGCAAGCTGCCGCACTTGTCCCCATCAACACGTGTTGGACTGCGCCCAAAGATCTGGATGGCTACAACATGACCG